CTGTCTTGTTGCGCTGTTTTTCTTTGATTTAATGTATTTTATAGTCTCCAGAGTTCAGTCTGGGCTTGGGAGATTTATTTTATTTATTTTGCTGTTCATATATAGCATTCTAATCCAATACTTAATAACTTTTATTCCTCTTTTTTTTTTTTTTTTTACTGTGATTATTATAAAAAAGCTGCAACATATTCAGTTGTATTGAACACCGGACAAATAAAACAAAAGTTAATAAAAATAAAATGTAGCTATTATGAGAAAAATAAGACAAATTGAAAACAATAAAACGTAGCTATTATAAGATACATACACGAGTTAATAACAATAAATATAGCTATTATAAGACACATCAACAAGTTAATAACATTAAAAAGACACCATAGTCACCAGAACAACTACAGCTTATTGTATTTGTTTTGGTAAGTATAATCAGTCTCTTCAGGCTTTTTAGAGTAATCCCATTGTACAGCGCTATGGAATTTGTTGGTGCTAAATAAATAAATAATACAATAAAATAATAAACACTGTTCTTTCAGAGAAAATGCAGTGTTTACATTACTGTCTAGTGATAACTCCAGGCCCGTCGCGACCAGGCATGCAAACCAAGCAATTGCTTGGGGCCCCAAGCTGGCCTGTGGCCCCAAGCAGGGCCGGCGCTTCCTACAAGGCTGCAGCCACCTTAGCACTCTATAGAGAGCCTCAGGCAGCTGCAGCACTGCCTCTCTCATCACCTCCCCTTCCCTGTAGCGTGGCTGAGCTCCTCTTTATCCTGTCAGTCCAGCCAGGTACCGCGCGGTACAGGAGATTCAGTTTCCTGTTCCTGGCCGGACTGACAGGAAGTGCACACTGAGTGCTCACTTCCTTTCAGTCCAGCCGGGAACAGGAAACTGAATCTCCTGTTACCTGACAGGAGGAAGAGGAGCTCGGCCACGCTACAGGGAAGGGGAGGTGAGAAGAACATAGGGAGGGGGGGGGAGTAAAAAGAACATAGTGAGGGAGAGAGGGAGGGGGGGAGTAAAAGAAACATAGGGGAGCAAAAATAGGGAGGGGGGAGTGGGGGAGCAAAAAGAACATAGGGAGGGGGGAGGGAGGAAGAAGGACACAGGAGGGGCAGGGGGAGTAAGAAGAACATAGGGAGGGGGAGGCAGTAAGAAGAACATAGGGAGAGGGAATAGTAAGAAGAACATAGGGAGGGGGAGGAGTAAGAAGAACATGGGGGCAGTAAGAAGAATATAGGGAGGGGGAAGGAGTAAGAAGAACACAGGGAGAGGGGAGGAGTAAAAAGAACACAGGGAGAGGGGGGTTGAGGAAATGAGGAGAACACAGGGAGAGGGGGAGGTGAGGAGAAGGGGAGATTAGGAGAACACGGGGGGTGAGGAGAGGGGGAAATGAGGAGAACACAGGGGTGAGGAGAGGGGGGAAATGAGGGAGAACACAGGAAGGGGGAGGTGTGAGGAGAATGGGAGATGAGGAGAACACAGGAAGGGGAGAGGAGAACACAGGGAAGGTGAGGAGAACACAGGGGGGGGGAGGTGGGGAGAACACACAGAAGGGGGTGAGGAGAATACGGGGGGCTGAGAAGAACACGGGGTGAGGACAATACAGGAGGGTTGAGGGAGAACACAGGGAAGGGAGGGAGGAGAATAGGGGAGGAGATACAGGGGGTGAGGAGAACACAGAGAAGGGGGTGAGGAGAATAATGGGGGTGAGGAGAATACAAGGGGAGGGTGAGGAGAATACAGGAGGGGGAGGGAGAACACAGGGAAGGGGGTGAGGAGAATACTGAGGGGTGAGGGAGAATACAGGAGGGGTGAGGAGAACACAGGGAAGGGTGAATGGAGGAGAATACAAGGGGGGTGAGGAGAATACAGGGGGAGTTGAGAAGATACCGGTAGGGGAGGGTGGGGGGAGAGGAAAGACCACTAAGGGGCAGGGCAGAGCTCTAAGGGACGGAAGAGAGTGCTCTATAGGACAGGGGGCAGGATAGGGAGCTCTTTCACACTACGTGCACAGCAGTTATAGAAAATGTGCACATGTTTGTGAGAACTGAAAAATGTTAATGTGAGTGTGTGTGTTTTAAGTATGTTGGATTTAGTTATTGTGCACTTTTTAAATGTATATTTGATGTTATGGTATAGTGGTGTTTTTTTTTGCAAATTTTCAGTTGTTGAAAATGTTCAAATTTTATGCACATTATATGCAACAGCAGTATTCGCACTGTAAACATATTTTTTATTAATGCACAGTATATACAACAGCAGTATTTGCACTGTAAACCTTTTTTATTAATATAAAGTGTGGGTGAACTTAAACTGTATGGCTATGCATTGGTTCCTGTAGGCTTTGCGTGCGTGCGTGTGTGTTCAATGTATCTCTACACAGAGATGCTGATTGGCCAGGGTTGTGTTTGGCTTGTGCTGGCTCTGCCCCTGATCTGATTCCTTGACAGTCTCAGCCAATCCTATGGGAACGTATTGTGATTGGCTCAGAGAATCACTTCTGATGATGTCAGCCATACAGGCAGATCAGGGGCAGAGCCAGCAGCAGCATATAGAACAAAAGTAAGATTTTATTATACTTAGAGTGGTAAGGGGGGAGAGGTGGGAGAGGCAGGGGGCTATATGGTTGTTTTCACACTATAGGGTCAGGAATACTTGTTTGGGATCCTGACCCCATAGTGTTCCTTTAACCCCTTAAGGACAGAGCTTCAAAAGTTTGTCTTTCACTTAATGACAACAGCATTTTTTTCATTTTTTGCTGTTTGCGTTCAACTGCAATTTGCATTTTACTAATTTATTGCACCGACACATATTTATACTGTTTTTTAAAGCACAGAAAGGGCTTTAATTTGATGTAACATATATATATATATATATATATATATATATATATATATATATATATATATATATATATGCTTATTTATTATTAAAAAAATACAGAAAATTGCTATAACAGTTTTTGCAATAATAATGTGTGCCCAATTAGTGCAGGTTAAGGAAAGTAATTAAAAATAAATTCATTTAGTTGTTCTGATTTACAGAATATATAATGTGTCTGGGATTTTAAGTTTTTTTTGGTAGTTACAGGTCACAAAGCACAAGGAGTAAACTAAACCTTTAATGTGGAGCGATTTTAGAATTTGGTATGTTTGTCTTGTAAGCTTAATAGCCATAAAAGAAAACAAAATTGCCACACAAAAGTATATATTTATATAAAGTAGACATCACGGGCTATTTACCTAAGGTTGTTTTGACACTTTCTACGTAGCCATTTCACCGCCAACCTCTGCTAAATATTGGAGTAAAATTTTGTGGTTTTTTTGGTTTTAGGTACACAAACTTATAACAAAGAAATTCTCATGTTTATTTTGTAAAGTTGGTGTGTGCTATTCCTGTACAAAGTTTTATGTTCAGTTACATCTGCTGAGTAAAATGACACCCCCATTGTATGTCTTTGGCACTATTTCGTGAAGTTACAGTGCCATATAGGATACCTGTCCTTTTCAGTATTCACAGGAGAATTTTGAGAGACAGATTTAATGAGCCTTAGCTTCCATTTGGGGTATTATAGTAGTATGACTGTTCAAAACCCCCCCACAAAGGCCTACCATTTGTAAAAGTAGACACTCCAGGGTATCTCATAAGGTGCATATTGTGCCTTAATATGCCCACATTTTTTCACCAATATATGCTTGTACCAGGTGTAGTGGTAATAAGCGTTTTTTTCTGCCTTTTTGACACACAAAGTGAGTTTGCGCAGTATATTTTGCAAACCTTATGTGTGCTACCACTTTTTAATACTTCATATGTTGCTCAGCTATGTCGGCTAAGTACAGCAATACCCCCGTATGTACCTTTGCCAGGTATATGTGGATGTTGAAGGGGCACATTTGAGATGCAGCCATTCAGTTTTTTTCTAACTTTGAAGTTTTACGCTGTGTCCATGTTCCAATTTGGAGTAGTTTAGATGCTTGGTTATTGAAACTTCCCCACAAACACATACTATTTATTAAAGAATACACCCTGGGGTAATTCAAAAGGCATATTTTGAACCTTGGCATGGGATCATTTTTTCTCTAGTTTGTTCCACGTGTAGTGGTAATGAGCGTTTTTAAATGTATTCTTTTACTTTTTTAAACTTTTTTTACTTTTTAAAACTAGTTTTTAAACTTTTGTTTTGCTTATTAATTTTTTTTTTTTAACGATCACATCTTTAATAAGAAATATAAAGCAATTAAGCGGTGTAATCCATTTAATCTAACATTACAGCTTTTTTTTTTATTTGTAGTTTTGAAGCGGTGCATGTTACATCAGACATTTCTTGACATTTGTTATGGCTGTATCATATGGTATGTCACATATGCAGTTGTTTGTCATAGTAATTGCATACAGAATTCGTCAAAACATTTTCCATTGTAAACAGATACAGTACGTGGCCTTACATGGCCCTACCTCCAGTAGGATGACAGTTCGTTGAAACCAGTGCACCTTTTTTTTCTGGATAAATATATCATAACACAACAAGTGTAGTAATAACATAATAATGTAACATAATGGGGGTAGAAAAAAACGGGGGTGGTGAGGAGGAGGGACGGGGGGGGGGTGTTGTCAAGGTATTCAGTTGCGCATTGTCTATGTTAGTCAACCTCTATGTGTGTGGTGTTCAAGGACTTGGTTCGCATTTGCTTTCGTGTTCCTTACTGTTTTGGGGTGACTCGACTTTGCATATATCCCACATTTCCCAGGCCGTTACCCAAAATTTTTTCCCGGGTCTCATTTTTCTAGCCATGATTTCGTACCGTTTGGCTGATTCTATGATTTGGATGCATGTTGGCAATTGCGGAGTGTGTATCGACAACCAGTTCCTGCCTATTAGTTGTAGAGCCGCTATCAGGATATGGTATGTGAGATATTTAACTGATATTGCTATGTTTGGAGGGAACAGTTGTAATAGGTATAGTTCAGGCCCAGGCGGCATGACTACCTTTGTAGTGGTTTTTATCAGTTTGGAGATTTGTGCCCAAAAGGGTACAATTTTAGGGCATGACCACCAGATGTGGTATGTGGTTCCTGGTTGGTCCATGCATCTCCAGCATTTACCTGTGGATGGGCGTTTATGCGTTTTAACTTGGTTGGGACAATGTGCCAGCGATATAGTATCTTCCTGGATATTTCTACGTGTGAGGCACACATCTTTAAGTTCTTATTAGCTGAGAATATGTGGAGCCACTGTGTGTCGGTTAGTTTCATATTTAGGTCCAGTTCCCAGGCTGCGATAAACGAGGGTTTTGTGAGATATGCTTTGCGGGTGATTTCGTGGTATAATTGAGACATAGGTTTATTTGGTGGTTTGGTTTGCAGACACATTTGTTCCGCTGTGGACAATTGCGTGGATTGTTCGGGTTGGGCCTTTGGGGGATGGTATTTATGAAACCATGATTTTATCTGAATGTGAGAAAAAAGTAGTGTCTTCGGTACTTGATATTCAGTTTGTAGGCGCTCAAACGAGATCAGGTTGCCTTTATCGAGTAGCTGGTGGAGGTGTGTCACGCCATGGGAGGTCCATGTTTTTGCATTAAAGTAGGGTATGAGTGTTGTGAGGGCCTGTAGCTTCATAGCCGGCGACGGGTACTCTGACGGCCAGGATTTGGTCTGGTGTTTATCCCATAAGGACAGGGATAACCTAGTTGTTGGTAGCATATTTCTGTATTTGGGTCTGTGGGAGCGCGGTAACCATGCGAGTGTGGTGATATCTTGTCCTTCTGTGTAAGTGGACTCAATGACGAGCCATTCTGGCTGGGGATCTTGATGGAAGGCTGTGATTAATGGGCTGAGAATTGATGCCGAGTAGTACGCATGTAGGTGTGGGATCCCCAGACCCCCTTGCCTGAAGGGTTTGTGTAACACGGATGCTGCTACTCTCGCTTTTTTCTTGTTCCATATGAATGTGTTGAGGAGGGTCTGTGTTTCCCGGAGGAAAGTGTGTGGGAGTTGGATGTGTAATGTACGGAATAAGTACTGGAGTTTGGGTAAAAGTATAATTTTTGTCGCTGCAATTCGTCCCAGCCAGGAGACGTATTTGCCTGCCCAACCCGTGATTTGACTTTTCAGTTTGTTCACTAGTTTAGTGTAGTTTGCCTGAAACATGGCATGCGATGTGGCTGTAAATGCAACTCCTAAAAAGGTGAGGTGGTCCGTTCGCCAGTCGTATGCGTGGGCCTGTTTTAAATCTTGCAAAGTGCGGGGTGACATGTGCATCCCCATTGCTTGCGTTTTGGAAATATTAAGTTTGTAGTACGAGCATGCACTGTAATCAGCCAGGATGTTGTGTAGATGTGGGAGTGATGTGTATGGTGATTCTATGGAAAGCATGATATCATCCGCGAACATTGTGAGTTTATGTTCCACTGGGCCTATTTGTATACCCTTGACATTGTGACTCATTCTTATATGTTGCGCTAGTGGTTCCAAGATCAGGATGTACAGCAACGGGGATAGTGGGCACCCCTGGCGTGATCCGTTTGTAATACTAAAATTTTTTTATATAAATCCGCTATTGGCTACATGAGCCGATGGTGTGGAGTATAGCGCCATCAGTAGGGACATGAAATTGGGAGGGAAACCGAATTTTGTTAGCGTAGCCTCAAGGAATCCCCAGTGCACCCTGTCAAACGCTTTCTCAGCATCCAGCGAAAGGAACACACTGGGTCTCCCCGAGGCCCGCGTGCTTGACATCAGGTCTAGTAGTTTCCTGGTACCGTCCGAGCCCTGCCTCCCCCTGACAAACCCTACTTGATTTGTGTGTATTACCGAAGGGATTATGGAAGCAAGTCTATTTGCATAAATTTTCGCTAGCAACTTCGTGTCCGTATTTAGTAGAGAAATCGGTCTCAGGTTTTGGGGTTTGGTAGGTGGCTTCCCCGGCTTGGGCAGCGTTGCAATATGGGCTATCAGCATTTCTGACGGCATATAGCTTGTCGTTATGATGGCGTTAAACGTTTTCTCTATTTGCGGGGCTAGGGTGGATTTGAAACATTTGTAATAAATGTTCGTGAAGCCGTCTGGGCCTGGTGCCTTCCCCTGTGGTAGGGCGTCTATAGTTTTTTCTATCTCAGTGGCGGTGATCGGTTGTTGGATCATCGCCTGTTGGGTTGGGCTAAGGGAGGGGAGATAGGCCTGTGTTAAGAAGTTTTGTATTTCTTGAGTTGTGGGTTGATGTGTCTTAGTATCCTGTGCTAGGTTATAGAGTTTGTCGTAGAACTCTGCCATGGTGTCATTTATCTGCTGTGGGTTTGTAATTTTGGTGCCTGCAGCGTTAAATACATGCTGTATTTTCGACCGGGTATGGTGTTGCCTTAATAGGGAAGCCAGTGCTTTCCCCGCTTTGTTACCCTGAGAGTATTGCTTCAGTTTGAGTTTAGTCAGTGTATCTGATGTCCGTTGGAATAATATATCGTTTATTGCTTTAGTAGTACGGTATATTTCGTCCTGGCCTGCAGTAGACGGGGAAAGGAGATGGGCACTTGTTTGGTCTCTGAGTTTTTTGAGAAGGGTGGTGTATTCATCACATGCCCTCCTTTTCAGGTATGCTGCCCGGCTAATGAGTAGTCCCCGTATTACCGCCTTATGGGCGAGCCATACATTTTGGGGTTGTGTTTGCGGCGTGTAGTTTGTGTCGAAGTATAGTTTTATTTCCTTTTCTATTGTATTTTTGAAGGAGTCATCAAGCAGAAGGTTGTCATGCAATTTCCATGGGGAGGTTCCCCTGAAGGGAAATTTGTCTTGTAGGGTTAGGCGTACGGGCGCATGGTCTGACCATGTCAGGTCTCCTATCGTGCAGTCGATCATGGATGTGAGGAGATGCGCAGCTATGAGGATGTGATCAATGCGTGAGCTTGTTTTATGGGCTCTTGAGTGGTGTGTGTATTCACGTACGGTTGGATGTGTTGTGCGCCAGGAGTCATAGATATTGTATTCTAGCAGCAACTTCGTCATAGCTTTGCATTGGGGTTTGAGGGCGGCCTGCCTCCTGGTGGCACCAGCGGCTGTCGTGTCTAACGTTTGATCGAATATATGGTTCAGGTTTCCACACAAAATCAAATTTTGCAAGTGTGGGCTAGGTATTTTGGAAAGGACTTTGTGTAAGAAATTTCTTTGGTTAGTGTTCGGGCTGTACACTGAGGCAATCGTGTAATTAATGTCATTTATCGTGCAGTGAATAATGACGTATCTGCCTTGGGAATCTTTTTTGACTTGGAGTAGTTCGAATGAAAGTGATTTGTGGACAAGTATGGATGCACCTCTGGACTTGGAGGAGTGTGTGGAGTGGTATTGCGTGGGATAGTCTTGTTGTGCAAACTTAGGAACTTTGGAATGTGTGAAGTGGGTTTCTTGCACACAGAGGACGTCTATTTTGTCTTTTCTGGCCATGTCTAACAGGACACGCCATTTGTGCGGGGTGTTCAAGCCGCACGCGTTAATAATGTGTATTCTCAGGTTGCAGTATTTGTTTGTTTATTTGGAGTACTTTTGTAGATCTATTCTCTGAGAGATTAATATACCTTGAACCGGGAAGGGACAACTTGGGTGTGATAGAGAAGGGGTTGGAGGGAGAGGAATATATACATGTTCCCTGTAGCAGGGAATTGGTGCGGTGGACGCGCACCGTGGGGTACGGAAACATTTGTCTCCTGTGGTGTGGCGTGTGGGCTTGGTAGCCTTTGGGTTTGGACAGAACTGTTTTTTGTTTTTTTTTCTTTCTTTCTTTCTGAATATGTGGGGGCTGGGAAAGAAAGCTTGGGTGTGGTTGCTGCATGAGTGGTTGCTGTACCGTGCATCGCTATGCTACCCATTCGCAAGTGTATGTGGGGTAGGACGAGCTGTTGAGGCTCTTATCGGCATTTGAAAGGGCACCTGCATCCGTGCCGTATCTTAGGCCTCTCCGGCTCACTCCCAATCCTAAACCCTATCCGAGGGGTCCACGTGTCACCTTGTCCCCAGGGCTGATTGGTGATTGTGTGCAGTCACGTGGGTCTTTCAACAATGTCCCCCGTAACCCCTCAGCAATGCTGAGGTTGGCAAAGGGGTTTGCACATTTAGAGAGGGCATAGGACGCATAACGAGACATATAAAGTGGCCAGTGGTATGGGCCACGAGATACCCCGCGCGTCCCCCCCGTCCCCCCGCCCTCGGAGGGGAACGACCGGGGGAAAGCACCCGGGCCCACGCCGCCCACCCACTTGGACTCGGCCAATATCACATCGAAATCAGCTAACACATATCTTACTGGGTCCCCTACAACCCTGCACCTCCCCAATCTCCCAGCCATTACTGTCCATGTGGCAACATGAGAGTTCACGGTAACCCATATGCCCCCTCAGGGGAGGTCCATCTCCTGGCATATGCCCATGATCAGTGTTCAGACAATGATGTGTCCCCCCGTGGGTAAGAAGCTGAGGTTCTCCGGAGATGCCAAAATGTGCACAGTGAGAGTTCCGCTGGGCCCTTCCAATGTCAGTATGCCTGTGGGAAATAAGTGTGTAGTGCACAATACTTGCGTGTCCCTCATGCAGCTGACAGCGTGGGTTAATGTTTGTCCGGCGCTTTCTGCCACTCTATGCGTAGTCTGCTCGCTGGTGGGGCTTTCGCGGGTTCCAGTTGTGGGTTGATACCCCACGACTTCAGCTGGTTGGCGCCATCTTCAGGGGTCAGGATGGCCTGGAGAGAGCCATTTCTGGTCACCAAGAGCTTCGTGGGATATCCCCACCTGTATCTCACTCCGTTGGTGCGAAGTGCTGCAGTGATGGGTGCAAAATCTTTCTTCGCAGGGTGATCGCTGAGACGTCTGGGAAGATTTGTACCATGGCGTAATCATCTGGAGGCTTGGGTTTACTTCTGCTGGCTCGGAGGACATGCTCTTTAATGTGGTAATAATGGGCACGTAGCAGAACATCTCTGGGTGAGGAATCCGACAGGTGGCGTGGGCGCGGCACCCGATGAACTCTGTCGAGCAGCAGCATGTCAGACGGGATCTCGGGTGCGTAAGCACTCAGCAGGCCTCGCACATATGCTTGTAGATCCGCCGGGAGCACTGTCTCAGGTACCCCCCGCAGTCGCAGGTTGTTTCGCCGAGACCTGTCCTCCATGTCTGCCAGTTTCGTTTCGGTGAGTAGTAGTTTGTCTTCCAGTCTCTCCACGTGTGTAGCGAGATTGTTGTGGGCTGCCGCCATTTCGTCCATTTGTGATTCTATGTGCGACGTTCTCTTGCCTATTTCTTGGACATCTTTACGAAGTGAGTCCATGGAATGCTGCCAGGACCCGATCAGCTTTCGGGACAAGGCTTCCAGTGCTTGAGTTAGGTGGCTCTTTGTCAGGGCATCCCCTGGTGCAGGTATGCTTTGTGGGGCACTTTCATCGTCGGTACCCTCGTCGCCATCTTGGGTAGACGGTAGTAGGCCCGAGGGAGTTAAATTAGGTTTCTGTTGAAAGAAGTTTACTTTTTCAGCTTTTGCCGAGCTCTTCTTGCTTTTGTGTTGCGACATCTTCTGTGGTGAAGTTTGTGATGCGTTCTGTGTGGTAGGATGGCAACGGATTTTCAGCCCATTTGCCGGAGCTGAGGATTATGCGTCCATCTTGTCCGGCAGTCGGCCACGCCCCCCCTTATTAATTTTTTTAAACTTTCCTAAACTTTCTTAGAACTTTTTTTTACAGATTTAACATTTTTCTAAGCTTTTTTTTACCGTTAACCCCTAACTAGCAGTTATCAGCACTAACAGTAAATTCCCCATTTTCCCATAACTCCCACCCACCCCAGCTA